AAAAAAAAAAAAAAAAAAAAAAAAAAAAGCAAAAAAAAAAAGCACCATCCCCAAGCCTCCCTGTACCGAGTAACAATCGGGAGAGAGCGTACTCCCAGGCCCAAGGCACTCCTGAGCCAAGCGAGCAGGCGGGCGCGCAACCGCAGGGCGGACCAGGGTTCCGGGGCCTACAGTCAGTCAGGCCTGGCGTCTCCGCGGCAGGATCGATCCACCGACTAGTGGCGGAGAGCATCACGCAGCCCTGTATGGGGCTCGTGGGGAAAGGCAAATGTATGGGGCTAGGGTCGCCCTGGAGGCCGGGGACTCGGACTTGGGTGGCCATGGAGGCCTTTCTTACCATCGCGCCAAACTCTCCTCGCTGCAGCCGCTGCAGGCACCGCCGCCACTACACGAGCTTAGCTACAACGCCGCTAACAGCCAATCCCCGCGAGAGAAGCCGCCGGAAGTCGTCGGAAGTGCAACGCAAAAGTGCCTTTTGGATCATAGAGGCACAGTCACTTCCGGCAGCTAGAGCAGATACTGACTCTGTTTCAGCCATCTTCGATAAAGGCAAAAAGGTAAGTAGGGGAAAGTTTCCTAGCTTTAGAAAGATTTTTTTTTTTCAAGACGCTGTCTTCCGTTCTTTCGTTATTAAACATACGCCTCAAGTGATCAACGGTGTAGACAGTGACATCAGTCATCTTTCATTAGCCCTACTCAAAAATGGCGGCACTGTAAGTATCCCGGGCTAGAGGTCGGTTGTAACCCGGAAGTGCCCTTGTAAAGGAGGGGGCGGTGAGACAATCCGGAAGTGGATGGAAAGAGAGGTGCCACTTGGCGGCCATGGCAGCTGTAGTATCGGCGACTCCGGGTCAAGGCCCGGCCGAGTGGAGTACCATGGGCAGCACCGGGTATAGGGCAGAGACAGCCTTGTGTCAACTTTGCTGCTGAACCCCTAGGACCCATCGTTAGAGACGTGCAGGACTCCTTTCCTCATCCCAGGCTCGGAGGAGAGTTTGCTGGGACTGGTGGGCTGGTTTCCTGCCCTGGGGGGCGGATCACCTGCAGGGCCGCCTCTTGGAGACTGGGGCGTCTAGGGAACGAACAGGTTCGCTTGGGTTACTTACCCGCTGCCGCCTAAGACGTTGTGCCACCCTCATTCCGACAATCGAAGAAATTGATCATTCGCACATTTTCACCATTGACTTTTCGCATCTCTCTTAACCCACGAGAATCTGTGACTGGCATCTGAGAACCCAGAGCCTGGGACCTTAGATTGCTGTAAGCTTTCTCTGGTGCTAATATTAGCAAAAAGGATCTGTTTCCAGGTACTTTCAAGAGGAAGGTGCCTCGTGAACACATCTGCTGGTGGGAAGGCCTAAAGAACTGGAAAGCCCACTCTCTTTGCACCACCACACGTGTTTAAAGAACCTAAGCACCTTTTAAAGCCACTGGAAATTTGTTGTCAAGTGGTGGTGGGTGAATAAAGGAGGGCAGAATGGATGATTTCATCTCCATTAGCCTGCTGTCTCTGGCTATGTTGGTGGGGTGTTACGTGGCTGGCATCATTCCCTTGGCTGTTAATTTCTCAGAGGTAAGAAACTATCAATTTTCTGTCAGCTGTCAGGATGGCTGTGAGGTAGTAGTTGTAGTTGCAAAGGGAAGCTGCTTCCCTTGATTAATCTCAAAGCTAAAGGTCCCATTAAGCAAGACTATATTTTTAAAAACAAACCTCATATTCAGCAGTGGAATTCTTAACCTGGTGTAGATAGATATTTCACTGAAGATCCTGGAGTATCCTGAATCCCCTGGAATTGCTTAAAAATTTTGAGGTTCTGTGCATTTTCCTGGAGAGAGGCACCATAACATTTCTTTTGATTCTCAGAGGTTTTATGGAATCAAGGTTCCATATTGTTATCAAGAAAATAAATGGAGTGGCTCATGCCTGTACTCTCAGCACTTTGGGAGGCTGAGGTGGAAGGCTCACTTGGGCCCAGGAGTTCTAGACCAGCCTGGGCAACATGGTGAGACCCTGTCCCTCCAAAAATTTAAAGTTATCCACGTGGTGGTGTGCTTCTGTTGTTCCAACTACTAGGGAGGCTGAGGTAGTAGGATCGCTTGAGCCCAGGTGGCTGAAGCTGCAATGAGCTGTGTTTGGGCCACTGCACTCCATCCTGGATTCCTGGATGGCAGAGTGAGATCCTGTCTCCAAAAAAAAATAAAATAAAATAAATGGAGAATGTTATTTGTCCATATGAATTGAAGTCAGTATGATAACTTCTTGTTGAGAAAGTCAAACATACCTTTCTGAGGAAAGCTGTTTTGTTTTGTTTTTTGGATGCTTGTGCTAGAATGAATGAAAGAAAAATTAGATTGTTCTTAACTCACAGTTCCTTTCAAATGTGAGCATTGGAATTGATATTCTGAAGTTGTTTCAAATCTATTTGCTTAGCAATGAATTTTTGGTTAATATGTTTTAACATTTTGGTTAATTTGATTGGCATTCCTTGAACAAACGTTAAGCGAGGGTCCCAAGGAAGAGGGGTAGATGAACACTGTTCACTGAACATTCCAATAGGTCCTTTAGGTAGGCATAAAGAATTCACGAAGTGCACAGTGTTCAAAGATTTAGGGGGAATAACTACTACATTTAGAGGGAACAAGATTTCATGAGTTTGTCCTAGAGTTCAGCAGTAAAATAGGCCCTACTTTCAATGCTGTTCCTGAAAGTACTTTCAAAGGAAAGAGGAGAGTAGAATGGCCTGAAGTAGAAAGGAAAGGTATAAGTGAAATATTAAGTTTACCTTGAAGAAACCTGAGGAAGAGGAGACATTGCAGGTGAAAATAGCCTGTGGGTGGGAAAGAAGGTGGGACAAGGAGTTGTCAATTTGAGGAAAAGTAAGCCCATATCCAGATGGAATGGAGGCTTGAATTGTTGCTGCTCTTTTTCTGTTTCCTTTTTTGTCTCTACCCCTCAGCATCTAATGACAACATTTTTTAAAAGTATATACATTACCTAACTTCACTTAAAAAACTCAAGCTGGGTGCGGTGGGGCACACCTGTAGTCCTAGCTACTCAGGAGGATAAGGTGGGAGGATTGTGTGAGCCCAGGAGTTGGCCTGGGCAATACTGAGACTCCGTCTCTCAAAAAAAAAAAAAAAAAGAAAGAAAGAAAGATCAGTGAGGTACAGACTGGATGGGTTCATGAAGTTTATTAGAATCAGGGGAGAGATATTTTTTCAATCCAGCTTTTCTGACTCAGACCAATTCTTGGTATACATGGTAGACTGTGTACCAAATGCACCCCACAGGCTGACTGTTAAATTAGCAGACAGTTTATTATTGTTCTTTACCAGTATTTCCTCAAGGCAACAGTTGGGATGGGCTGAGTAGCAGCTGATAGTCACAGTCCTCCTTGCCCTTGAAGCCTATTTCATTCATTCAGGTTACCTGCCTGCCCAGTAGTTTGTGAACCTGCTGTGTTTCCTTTGACAGAACCGTATTTTCTTATAACTGTATTAGAATTGAATTGACATTAGTAAGGCTGACGTGTGAGATTTGGGTTGGTTTGTGTATTTTTTAACTTACTTAGGTAACATTATGAATAATTGTAATTCTGATAAGCAACCAGTAAAATTTTTATTTCTATAAAATGCTTATAACTTTACCAATTTTAGTATTTTTTCAAACTTCCTTGAATGATTATTGCAATATGCAGATATATACTATTTGCTTTTTCACTGGAAGGAAATGTTTACAGGAGTTGTGTTATTATCTGGGACATTAATAAGGACAATTAGTATGTTTTTTTCATTTCTGGCTTTCTTAAATTGTCGGTCAAGTGGTCTTTTCCAGCTATAGGTCTTAAAATGCTATAAAGCAGCATTCATAATATCTGTTTATTATTAGAGCAGACACAGTGCATTTTGAGCTGTTAAAATAAAAATGAAAGTTATATATAACTTAAAGACATTTTAGAATTCAACTAGGATTTCTGTCCCCTGGTAACTAAACATTTTTTCTTTTTTTTTTTTTTTTTTTTTTTGAGACGGAGTTTCGCTCTTGTTACCCAGGCTGGAGTGCAATGGCGCGATCTCGGCTCACCGCAACCTCCGCCTCCTGGGTTCAGGCAATTCTCCTGCCTCAGCCTCCTGAGTAGCTGGGATTACAGGCACGTGCCACCATGCCCAGCTAATTTTTTGTATTTTTTGTAGAGACGGCGTTTCACCGTGTTGACCAGGATGGTCTCGATCTCTTGACCTCGTGATCCACCCGCCTCGGCCTCCCAAAGTGCTGGGATTACAGGCTTGAGCCACCGCGCCCGGCTACTAAACATTTTTTCTAGGCAAATTATGCCATTATTATGGACCAATGTTATACTGAAACTAGTGAGATGGTAAATTTGTCAAAATAAATTTCATTCATGGGGGACTGGAAAGCACAATTTCTTTCCTTACAAAATAATTCCCCAAACTCCTACACAGGATAAACAACTTGCCTCTTTAAGGAAGTCTGGCTTTTTTTAGAGATAAGTGTTAATATTTTACAGTTCACTTTTATTTACATCAGGGGTGTCCAATCTTTTGGCTTCCCTGGGCCACATTGGAAGAAGAGTTATCTCGAGCCACATATGAAATACACTAACACTAAGATAGCTGATGAGCTAAAAATAATAATAATAATTGCAAAAAAACCTCATAATGTTTTAAGAAAGTTTGTAAATTTTTGTTAGGCTTCATTCAAAGCTCACCTGGGTTGCATGCAGCCCAGGAGCCACAGGTTGGACAAGCTTGATTTACATGAAAAGAAATGCCTTTTATTCATGTTTTTAATTTTGCTGCTGCTGCTTTCTCATTCAATACTTTTTCTTCAGAATTTCTCAGAGCACGAATAAAAGTCAGATGATCAATTATGGAAAGATTAGTATTCAAAAACGAGTTAAAATCAAGTAGTCTGAAATTGCGGTAGTGTGAAGTCTAACTGCCAGATATGACCACCAAGAGGTTTATGTGACATTGATTTCTCTCAGTTTTTCCTCACCCCAAAACTACCTTTCTTGATACTTTTGTGACCTTCTTCCTTGCCCTTTGACCTGGCAACTGTACCTTCATGCCTTAAAAATTTATAAAACAGAGGAAAAAAAGTCTGACTCTCAAATGCAATTATAAGTAACTTTGATAATCAGGATGCTGATTTTTTCGGCATATGGGAAAGAGAAACACTTTTAACTTTTAAAGGAAGCCAAAGCATGCTTTACACAAATGAAGTCCTGTTTGGTAAGGGAGTGAGACATACTAGTTTATAGTTAGCACTGTCTTATCTTTTTTAGATTCAATTGCTAATGAGGAGTTTTCTTTGGCCCTAAATAACAATATTACATAAGTAGGTTGAGAGTCCATATTACCTAGTATAAACTCAGTGTGCTCCAATTGATAAATGGAGCTATGATAGAAAAACCAGATGGCCAAAGTGGGATTTCAGATTGATTGTCGAAGGGTTGTTACTCACCTGAATATGTCTCCTCTTTGTCACAGAGCTGGTAACAGAAAGCAAGCTGTTTTTGCCTCAGAGCTCTACAGCAGTATTCCTCAGCCTGTCTAGTAAAGGATCAGGTTTTTTGTTTGTTTGTTGTGTTTTTTTTTTTGAGATGGAGTTTTGCTCTTGTTGCCCAGACTGGAGTGCACTGGCACGATCTCAGCTCAGGGCAACTTCCGCCTCCTGGATTCAAGTGATTCTCTTGCCTCAACCTCCCGAGTAGCTTGGATTATAGGCATGTGCCACCACACCTGGCTAATTTTGTATTTTTAGTAGAGACAGTGTTTCACCGTGTTGGTCAGGCTGGTCTCGATCTCCCAGCCTCAGGTGATCCACCCGCCTTGGCCTCCCAAAGTGCTGGGATTACAGGCGTGACCCACCGCATCCAGCCTAGTTTTTGTTTTTAATTTTTATTTCAATCCATACCAATACACTTATAAAAATGAAATAGTAGGAAAATGAAGTGGTAAAAAATTATAGAAAATACAAGCGCAAATGTATTGTTATTAGATTCAAACAGATAAAAAATTACTACTATAATTGTAATCATGTTGTTATAAAAATTTCTGAAGACTCTTAGTTTCCATACTTTTCTTATTGCAGACCAGCTTGGGTTATAATGCCACATTTTTCATGTATTAAAACAGCAAAGCTGGGTGCAATAGCACACACCAGTAGTCCCAGCTACTCCAAATGCCAATGAGGGAGGATCACTTGAGCCCAGGAGTTCAGGATTGTGGTGAGCTATAAGTGTACCTGTGGATAGCCACTGGCAACATAGCAAGACCAGCTCCCTAAAATAACCAGTGGCATAAATTCCATAAATTGGCAGGTGAAAGAAGTGCTATTCTTAGGATTTTTTTTTTTTTTTTTGAGACAGAGTCTCACTGTGTCGCCAGGCTGGAGTGCAGTGGTGTGATCTCGGCTCACTGCAACCTCCATCTCCTGGGTTCAAGCGATTGTCCTACCTCAGCCTCCTGAGTAGCTGGGACTACAGGTGTGTGCCACCATGCCCAGCAAATTTTTGTATTTCTGATAGAGACAGGGTTTCACCATGT